AGTTCAGTTTTTATCCCTTTTTTTTTTCCCCTTTTCTTTTTCTTCATCTATCAAAGGGCTTTACCCCCTTATTCCCTCCAATACTGGTGTATATTTGAAGTCATACCGTGATCATACCAGTATATGCTATTTAGAGTCTGTCGACGTAACAGAAGTCAGAGAGAGCGGGAGGACAGTAAGGCTTTATTTTACCACCATTCATCAAAAGTTCTGGCAGGCTGTTCTGTAGGACAGGAGAGCAGTGACAACCCCGAGATCCTTTGCCAAGCTAAATACGACTTCCATGGCAGCTCGGGTGTCCTCACCCTCCCAGGCAAGGAGAATCAACAGATGCACAGCCTTGGACAAGGCGAGATCTGAACTCACTCACAGAAAGGCTACCTTAGGCCCTTCTAGACTGGTATTCTGACTCTAGAGAGAATGCCTATACACATTTTATGAGACAGCATGACCCCAAAACCCGTACTGAAATCTGTGATTCCCAGTGGAGGACGATCATATCCAAACAACTATGAGAGCCCTTTCAAAGCACATCTGTCCAGAAGCAATCCTTTTTTTTTTTTTTTTTTTCTCCAGGGAGAATCAGAGTCTCCAGAAAGGGACTGTGGACAGTCCTTGCAAAAGCTCCCCCAGGACTTTCATGTTTGGGGGAGTGCTGCTCACACACATGAACTTGCATGTGAACCCTAATAAATGACCCATTCAACCATCTGAACAGCCTGCAAACCTACTCACAGTCATCCTACCTTTCTTCATTTAGGGAGTAGAATGTCAATATGTGTCAAGGAATATGGTCATCAAAGAGATTCTAGAAACTTTAGAGGCTTTGTTCTTCTGAATAGTTGAGCTTTCCAAAGAGATAAAGATCTCCGCATGTAAGCACCATGTCTTTTTTTTTTTTTTCCAAAATAACATTTCAAAAATTTTGGACATAAAACTCTCTGAAATTTTATTGCCATGTATTTCGTTTTCTGAATATAATTTAGCCTCACCTTCATAATTCAAGGCTCTTATCATAAGAACGATTTCCATATTGGGGCTGGAAGAGGGACTTTATTCATGAAAGCTGCAAAGACCGCCAAATGGCTGCTAAAGGCAAGTGGGAAGTTGGAGAACAAGCCAGAAATGGGGCTCCACATAAAGACAGCACAGCAGACATCAGAAGCCAGATGGGACACCATTGCTATAAGGACTGGCTGGGTGAGCTATAAACAGGGTGAGATTTAGAAAAAGAGTCCACAACAAGCATTGCATTCATTCTGTGACCTGATTTTCTGGGCCAGCATCACCAAGGCGCATGGGCAAAAATCTCAAGTCGAAAGCATGATATGCTCCCATCAAAGTATTTCCCTCCGGCCCTCCCCTTCTAATTTCCTGTGGTTCTAGAGATAACCAGTCTGGTCACAAGTGAATAAAGGGCCAAAGGCTGCCTTTCTGGTAACTCGGCTGTGTATGTATTTTGTATCTCCTATTAGGGTGATAGGAATCTCTGACTTACTTCCTAGACGTTGGCTGTGTTTCAGGAGGTTAGATCGCTGCCCCGCTGAGCTCCAGATAGACAAGGAATTGGTTTCTTCTTCACTTTTCCTCTAAAATTATCTCCTTTCAGGTGCCTGTGTTCAGTGACAGTGAACATGCCCCACACTCACCCTCTTCATATAACACGCTTCCATCTTGGGCTGTACCTCTTCCACTGGCAGACTCCAATCTGTGCAGATCTGGTGGCTCACTGGCTGGGGCAGCCAGGGCTGCAGTCACCTCTAAGAAGGTACACATCCTCTAAGAAGTCACTAAGGACCTCTAAACTACCAGCCTCAAGGGACACATCCCTTCCTGGAGGTGAGATGGCCTCTGTGTGCAAGGCAAGTGGTCAGTAATTCTACTATCAGAGGCCACTCCTTGGAGCACAGGGCCAGGGGCCTAATAATCACAGCTTATGTTACAGGCAACAAAACATAAGAGATCTTGCCTTCAATTTACTGAAGGCAGGCAAGTGAAACAGGGCCAGAGAACAATCCATGCTGCTACTGTCCATACAGAGAGATGTTTGCAAGCGATTTAATCAGAAAAGAAGAAAAAAGAACAAGTAATCATATTCTTGTTTTTTAATTACCTTGCAATCTATCTGGCTTTCTTTGATCTAGCTTCTTTTTCCAAGAACCCAGTGTTTGCTTTCCTTTCAAGTATCAATCCACCTTCTAGCTGGCCTTATTTTTCTTCTATTTACTATTTCTTCTATTCTTTTCTCTTGTTTTTCTTCTATTCTAGCTGATACTGAGGCAAAGAGCAAGGGAAAGCGCAGTACGTGGTGAGGCGTGAGCATCTGGGAGTCACAGCTGGATTGATATCGCAACGCTGTCACTTTCTAGCTGTGTGATCCTGGCCAAGTGCCTTACTTTCTCTGTGACTCAGCGTCTTCCTCTGTGAAGAGGAGAAAGAGCACAGTAATAGAAAGAATACCTTAAATGGGTGAATGTTGGGTGAAAAGGCACAAACTTCCAGTTACAAGACAGCAAAGTCCTGGGGGTTTAATGTCCAGCATGGTGACTATCTAACAACGCTGTAGTGTAGATTTGGAAGCTGGTAAGAGAGTACATCTTAAAACTTCTCACCACAGGGAAAAAATTGCATGACTTTGTGACATGATAGACACTAACTAAACTTATGGTGGTAAATGCTTTGCCATATATACATCTATCAAATCATTATGTTGTACACCTTAAGCTAATATAAATGTTATATTGCAATTCTACTTCAATAATTTCTGGAAAAGAAAAGAATGCCTCATCATGCCAGCTTCACAGTACAGCTGTGACTATTCACGGAGACACGATTTGGAACATGCTGAGCTCTGTTACCCAGGAAGCTGACCCTGACCCTATTCTGGGCTGTCCTCATGGTGGTCTCAGGGCAGGCGTTAAGATTTGAAGTTCTCCAAAAAGATGTCTTTGGGGATTCATTTTAATAAATAAGAATTATTTTTCATGAACACACATGTTAACTAGTACCTGAAGGCTCTTTTTAAAACTTTAAAACTTACTGTCTGTGGATCACCTGGTGGCTTGGTTGGTTAAGCATTGGACTCTTGGTTTCTGCTCAGGTCATGATCTCACGGTTCATGGCTTTGAGCCCCGAACGGTGTGATGGTGTGGAGCTTGCCTGGGATTCTCTCTCTCTCTCTCTCTTCCTCAATCTCTCTCTCTCTTTCTCCCATCCTCTGTTCACATGCTCTCTCATTCTCTATCTCTCAAATTAAATAAATACAATTTAAAAAAAAACTTATTCTCTGCAATCTCATACAAAACATTTGTTACTAATTTGTTGTAATTCCCCATTTTCCCAATAAACACAAAGAAAATGCTCATCCAAATATTGAAATTTCCAAAATGCTTAGAATCCAGAACAACTAGTAGGCTTCTGCAATCAGACATCAATTCCTTTCTTTTCCACGAGTAAGCCCCCTTGTTAGTCATACAGTCGTACTTGCGTCCCCCTTAGCGCCGTGGGTCTATCAGTTCTTAGCTCTTTTTGGTTTTCCTCCATACGCTTTCTTTCCCTGGAGGTCAAGCTTCTCCCGGTGTCTCCTCTCCTCTCCTGAGCACCATTAATGCGGTGCCCTCAACAGGCCCCTTCCAGACTCTGATCTTGCACAGGTCGCTCCTCCGTCAAGAATGATCATCCCTCAACCTGTGTTGACAGATACGTCTCAAGGCCCCTGCTCTAGTGTCCACTCCCTGCTGACATCCTCCAACTCTGCTCTCTCCACACACTGTTCCTATGACACCATGACACACTCAAGTTCCCCACGCACAGGTCTGCCTCCGTCCCCAGACTCTGGGCTTTCAGACCAGTGCTTTATCGTACGTACAAGTCAGCCAAAGACCCTGTGAAACATGTAGGTTCTGCTCCACATTTTGCGTATTCTGGTTTAAGTGAGTCTGGGACGGGGCCTGAGACCCTGCATCTCCCAAAGCTTCTAGATAATGCTGATCTACTGCGCTGTAACCCACTTGGAAAGCTTTTAAGAACCTTTCTGAAGTGTCAGTAACTTGGCACTTCTCCATCATCATCATCATCATCACCATCATCACCATCATCACCATCATCACCATCATCACCATCATCACCATCATCATCTTTTAACTCAGCTGCCCAGCAACTGTATTTAAGGAAATGAAAGAGATGTCAGAGCGGCCTGAAATAATGCAGGCGAGGGGCAGACAGAGAATGGGGACGGGGATGCCCTGGAGAGAGTGGGTACAATCAGAAAAGGAAAGGAGACAGAATGAGGTTAGCGAAGAGGCAGGAGACAGCAAAGAGAGGAAGAAAAGGGAATGAGAAAATAACAGGAAGAGAGAAGTAGCAGGAAGGAAGGGAAAAGGAAAGAAAGGAGAAAGGGATGTCCATGAGAGGAGATAAAGAAGACGATGCCTGGGTGGCTCTGTGCGTTGAACATCCAACTCTTGGTTTCCTTCAGGTCATGATCTCAGGGTTGATGAGCTCCAGCCCCACATCAGGCTCTGTGCTGTCAGAGCTTGGGGTTCTCTCTCTCTCCCTCTCCTCTCTGCCCTTCCCCCTCTCATGCTCTCTCTCTCCCTCTCAAAATAAATAAATGAGCAAACATTTTTTAAAAAAGAAGAAAGAAAAGGAAGGCCAGCTGACTTTCCTCCTTCAGGTGGAATTGAATCTACACTGCCTGACTTTCCAGATTGAAGGGTGGACTTCTGGACGCCATCCCTCCCAAGGGTGGGTACTCCAGCCATTTGTGCCCCTGAAGACGCATGCTCAGACCTCCGCCACCTCCTTCTAAAGGTTCTTCCTTCCAGACCAATGGAGAAATGAGCGACAGCCGGCAGAGTAATAACAAATGAGAGCCTCTATCAGGATTGTGAATGTGCAGAGTGGTTTATGTCAGCTCAGAAAATCTGTGACAGTAGAAAGCATTTTACTTGAAGACTTCAAACTGATCTTCTCACCAAAGTAACACCCACAAAAGTTACCTGATACAGTTCAATGCGTTGTTCGGGCACTCTGGCCTTTGGGTTCTGTAAACGAAAGACCCTGAACTCTGCTTTCACCAAATTGGATGCGTTCTTCTCCATCGCTGAGACGTCAAATCGGACAATTCTGAAGTAAGGTCTGTAGAAAGTGGGCGGGATGGCATCTGTAAAAAGTTAAGGCAATCAATGAAAACGATAAAATCCATTGTTCTCTCCAAAAGACTATGCAGCATGAGATAATCTCAAGAAAACATAAGGGATATATCTACAGAACGATTTAGTTTCCAATGGCCAATTTAATACCGTTAACAATTTAACCAGAAAAAAAAAATAAACATGTGCATTTGGTTACAGGGGCAGCAGATTAATAGAGATTAACAAACCACTTCCAACTTCATTTGAGGGCATGCAGTTAACCCTATCCTTTGAAAGTTGACAGAGCAGTGGAAAATCCTAGATGGTTCTGGACTGGATCAAGTTCTTGACAGTTGATGCCTGGAGAGAGCTGTCGGGCTTGCATACACTGTAATCAGATGTGCCAAGAAAATAGCTCCTAATGGCAAGCAGTTTGCCCATGTATTTTTTTTTTCTTGAAGTCTTGGCATCCAAATACTCTCCTCTATCCAGGTTCATGTATTGCCTCTTTTCTGGCTTCAATATTTTGTTTTTTCCCACACATATGACCAAATACACCCTCTGGTTAAGTCAGGATGAGAAAAATTGAATTAACGAAAACTATACCCATGTACTGGCTATATCGGGTCCAGTCTTAAAATTCTTTAATCAAGATAATGTCCCTTGGTGGAAGGGAATCCCGGCTAATGAAGAGAAAGAAGCAGCCCCCTTCCTTCACTTCTGAGCCATGGAAACCACAGCGATGCAGATGGTACACAACAATTTCACGTTCATGGGTTGCTAGAGTTTCACTATTGTTTTGGAGTAATCTGCCATTGCCTTTGAACATGCCACTGGGCTGCAGCAACGAACCAATGGAGGTCCTAATTCTCTCCACGTGCTTCATACATGGCACCCACTTACTGAGCATGTACACTGGGCAGCCCACTTGTTACAGATGTTTCTACGATCTTCTTCTACAATCTTCTACAAACTTTCTCTCATTATTCCGGAATGCTCCATCCAAATCTTGGAGCTCCATTACTTTCTACCCCACTTCTCAACTATGGAGCTTCACTATAACATAATAACTCACAGTTGTTTATGGCTTTTTACAAGTGCTTTTATTACTTTTGTGTTATGTTTGTTTGTTTTCTTTCGCCCCAGGAAATTTCAAGAATCTTGAGGGCAGAGACCATATTTGTCAGCTCTTCCTTATTCCACACGCCTAGGGCAGGGCCCTGGACACACGGAATTCACCAGCAACACACTGTTTGTATAGCTGGTCATCAATGGGAGTCTTGAAAGACTCAGGCATCTGGCTACTGGCAAGGCTAACTTCTTATTAAATCAATGAGCCATCTTGCCAATCTTAAAATAGAAATAAATACCTTTGGTCACTTCTTGGGAAATCCATGGCCTGACGATTACACTGAAGAAAAAAAAAAACCGCTAGGAACACGCTGACATTTGCTGATCTTAAGAGCTCAGTGCTTTTTTCCCTCCAAGGGGCTTTCCCTCATCCCCTTCCCCACGTCCTGTGACTCTCAGAAAGCTGCTCACGGAGAAGCAGTGAATTCCGAGCCACGCTCTGCCGGAGGACTGCTTCACCAACGCCTACATGAATCGAAGCTTTGTAGCTCGTGAGCCTGGAGCTCCAGAAACAAACAAACAAACAAAATAAAAACCCCAAAAATCTAAAGCATCCCGGTGTCAGAGAAAAGAAAGTATTCATGCAGATGCAGTGATGGCCCACTGCGTTACTACTGTGAGTTAGTTGGTGGACAGTGTTCAGGCCGACAAACATTCGGACAGGCAGCCAGGTTTCTGGGGGCCCCCTAGCACTGCAGTCTGGCAAGGTGGCTGCTGGGAAGAAATCGATCTTTCTCTCCTCTGGAGCATGCCCACCCCAGGTGACTGGTACTGGCCTGACCAGCTCAGCTGAAAACAGGCCAGATGCCCAGCAGGGTAGCTGGGGCGAGGCTGGAGCCAGGCATTCTGGCTTTCTACACCCTCTAGTTTGGCCAGAACCTTCTGGAGGCCTAATGGCAGCATTCTGCCTCCCCATTAGACGGCAGAAGCTTCAAACATGCTTTGAAAGAGCATCCTGAAAGAGCAAAGCTAATTCAGTGCATTTCCTGTCATTAGGAAGAGTAAACATCGCGGGTGTTTCCCCCTCCTCATCCAGGGGCACCCCTCAGGCCCTTTCTCCTTCCCCCAACGCCCATCTTTCACACCCACCCGCCCCAATCTTATCCTTCCATCAAGTTTGTAAATAAGTGCTCTTGAGATTTATTTTTATTCTCTTTGGTGTTTATTAAACTTTGAACCACTTTCTTCCCTTTCTGGTCTTCTGCCCAAACTCACTCTTTCTTTTTATGGCTGCTTCGGACCACGAGGTCAATTTTGTTTCTTCTTCTTCTAAGCAAATTGTCCAATGATCCTGTCCTAGGCTTTTGAGCTTTGAAGGGGCGTTTGCAAATATTTACAGGAGTAGCTTGATAGTTAAGTGCAGCTGTTCTTCTCTGCTCCCTATATGTTGGCAAACAGCCTTCCTCTCTGGCTATTCTAACCAGTTCAGTTATTTGTATTCCAAATGCCTGGTAATACCTATCCGCTTTTTTTTTTTTTTTTTTGGGGGGGGGCTGCTTGAGAAGGAGTCAAAGCGCAAGGTGACATAACCGCTCAGGACCCCCACCAACGACTGTGCTTTGCTCTTGCAACCACAGTGAAGGAACCAGGCCCGGAGGCAGCTGCAGCCTGCCCCACACCCCCTGCTCCAGCGCGTGAGAGCACGAGATCACTCGATAAACACTGTTGACCAAAGAGCTGACTACAGCTTCCAAGGGCCGCCTGCAGCTGTCTCCTGCTGTCATCTGCTGTGGGTCACCAGCCCCCTGCCCGACGGAGGAACTTGAGTGACTTGGCACATGTTTCTACAATTGGAAAAAAAAAAAAAAAAAAAGGCACAGCAAATTGCTTTGGCCTCGTCTGTGAACCTACCCTTACCTCATAAAAGCTTTTGGATGCATGGTGTGGGGAGAGCAGACAGTGGGCCATCCACGCCCAGCCGGGAGGCAGCAGGCTCTCTCCCTGGGCTCAGGGCGCCAGAGCGACAGGGTAGGTATTTAATGTCTTGTGCAGCCCTGATCCACCCACTTAGCCTTGGAGGGATGGAGCTTTTTCCTCTGCATCCTCCAAGAACTCATTTCCCCCTCTGGAATGGGAGTTCTCCCCAAAGTCCTCTGTAATTCCAATCCCAGTTCCTATTCCAATGCCAGGTGGTCAGGTACTTGGGCTTGACCTTTGCCAACTTACCCACACTCACATCCTGCTTGGCTCTTCCCTCGCAATTTCTGACCCACTTTTTTTTTTTTTTTTTTTCAATCAAATCGATTTTCCTGCAACCCTTTGGATCAGACCACCAGGCTGATTCTGCCCCTCCTCCCGTGCCTGCCTCTCCTGTGTGCCTGACTCTCAGGGAAAATCTTACGCATGGGAGATTCCAGAATGACATCGAGCAAGTGGTGTTCCCCTCACCTCAACCCTAGCCACATATCTCTGCGAAACAAATTTTGGGGAATGGATAGCCGGGGGGAAAAATGAGGAAATCTAACTAGTTCTTAATTTACAAAGTAACAGTGTACTGAAAGCCTAATTCAAGCCTTAATCACAAGCTACTTTTATAAACATTGTACATTGGCCTGTTATCTCTTCCTAATAATTTATTATTAGCTTGTTGTATATTATCTTCTCCCTAAGTAACCAGCTCAAGTTCAGGAATGCTTACTTATGGTTCTTTGGCTCTCCACAGCGCAGGGCTGGCTTCATGGATGTGTGACCATACAGTTACACAGAGGCCCCACGCTCGGAAAAGCCTCATACGGGAGTTTAATGCTCGAGGGTCACCATCATGACCTTAATAATTTCATCTTTGAATTTCGGTTTTAGAAGTCAAGTCTGATGGGATAGTGAAGCAGGTGCAGGGGGCATAAGACTTTGGCCCATATGCTATCGCATCTCCCTCCCATGACCTGCAAGCCTCCTTAAGATTGGTCCTTGGCCCCCCACCACTCACCCTCTGGCACCCCCGGCCTCACCTGGGAGAGTCAGGGTTTAGGTACATACAACCGAACATGCCCCCAGGCTGGCAGCTGCCCCACCTGAGGCTGGCAGTGTTGCAGCGCATTCAGAGGACAGCTCTTGCCCACTCTTGATGCAGGTCCCAAGCACACCGCAGACTTTGCAATGCTATGGTTGGAAGTGGTGGTCCCGTGGGAAGGGAGATGCCAGGCTCAACCTCAACGTGGTTTTGGTCCGGTGGTTGGAAGCGGGGGGGGGCGGGGAGCAGGGAGGAGGAAGGGGGTTGGACCCAGCTGTACAAACCAGGGTAAAGGCAGGGCCCCTCATGCCTGTGAATCTACTCCCACTCTGGCAGCATCCCAAACCCAGGGGAGCACGACATCAAAGAGCACATGAAGGTGCACCTGGGTGGCTCAGTCGGTTAAGTGTCCAACTTTGGCTCAGGTCATGATCTCACAGTTTGTGAGTTCGACCGCATCGGCTCTGTCCTGACAGCTCAGAGCCTAGACCCTGCTTCGGATTCTGTGTCTCCCTCTCTCTGCCCTCCCCTGCTCATGTTCTGTCTCTGTCTCTCAAAAATAAATAAACATTAAAAAAAAAAAAAAAAAAGCACATGAAGAGTGCTTCGGTGGTGCAGTAGGTTAAGTGTCTGACTTTGGCTCAGGTCATGACCTCACAGCTCATGGATTCGAGCCCCACGCCAAGCTCTATGCTGACAGCTTAGAGCCTGAAGCCTGCTTTGAATTCTGTGTCTTCTTCTCTCCCTGCCTCTCCCCTGCTTGTGCTCTATCTCTCTCTCAAAAATAAATAAACATTAAAAAAATTTTAAGAAGAAGAGCACATGAAAACCCCACAACAGGTCAAGAGACAGGAGAAAGAGAGACCATGGAACAAAGGGAAAAGTTCTACATTTTTTGAACCTTCAACGGTACATTTTCCCTGCTTTGTAAACAAGAGGCTCCCCATT